GTAATCAGCAGCGAACCGCTTCGAGACGTGTATTTCGGTTTATTCACGGCATTATTTTTGTTATTCTACAGTATTGTTGTTTTATAGTTATTTGTTAATGTAAATAACCCAATTTCTGTTCTTTGAAATTTAAAAGCATTGTGTGTGTTACTTTCGTTGCAGTTGTATATGTCTTAAGTGTAATTTGGCTTGGCTTTCTATTTTGTATGGACATGCTTTTATTTTGAAGGAGAGTTAGCGCAGTTGACCGGAAGTTGTTGTTGCTATGGAAACAACGTGACAGAGATTAATGGAGAAAAAGTAATATCTACATATAAAGACGGAGAAAGTAAACGATAACGTTTATGGTTAAGTGTTAGCACCCCCCGAAGAGGCACAAGCTCTTACGTTGATATTGGAGATTTCAATANGGTCGCTTCCTTTGTGTGTGTCGTGTGTGTCCGTGGTCTGTGTGTGTCGTCGTCGCTGTTGTCGTGTGTCGTGTGCTGTTGTGTGTGCTGTCGTCGTGTGTGTGTGCGTGTGTGTGTGCTGTGGTGTGATTGCTCTGACTGGCAGCAGCACGCCAGAGGGAGAGTCGTCTCTGAATCATCGGAGGCTTTTGTGGCGCGAGACCGCTCATCATCTTCGACCCCGGACACGAGCTGTGTGGTTCTGGAGCCCATCAGCCACCATCACGAGCCATCACACTCCCGTCAAACGCCTGCAAGACCCAAAAATAGCCAGAAGCTTTATTTTCCCACTTCAATACCGAGCTAGGCTAACATTGCGGTGGACTCAACAAACCATGATACTACGCTCTCGAGCTCGTGCAACACGATGTCATGACTGTCCCACCGCCACTACGTCAACTCTGAACTCTCTGAAAGGAAAACCTTCTCAGATATCCACATCAGACTCACACCACCAGCTTCTTCGCGCGCTCTTCTCTCTCCTGCGCTGGAAGCTGACGCACCCCTCGCCATGCTCTCGACCAGACGGCACGCAACTCTCACCAGAAGCTTCGGCACCCTCGCGCCGTAGTCCGCCTGATACCCCAAGCAACGGACACATTAGGAACAAAATTAGGATGATAATTTATCAATCCCAGTATTATTTATAACTTGGCTGAATGCTACTGAGGGTCAAACAATATTTGTTTTCGTTCTTCACTGGTTTGCATCTAACCCACAACAAACTGACTTATACTGCTATTCTTATATTACACACTCGCACAACAATATCACACGCACCACACTTTTGCTTCTTCCTGCTCCCATCCCTTTTCACTTGAGCACTGCAACTCAAAGACTACAAACATATTTACTATACTCACCACCAACAACTAACCACTCTCTCCCCATCACAACTCACCCTGCCTTCTCAAACCTCCCTGCCACAAAAATCTGTGATAGTTGGACGCCCTTCCCCTCTTTGCCGACGACCTCTCTCTCCCACCCCCCACTCACAGGTGTCCGCGCATCACACCCTCCCCAACGATGCTGATTTACGACAGCATCCGATTCTCTGCACAGGCTCGTGCCTTAGGCCTGGCCCAATAAAAGCCCCCGCCCTCTGACACCAGTGCAAGTTTGCCTTTAATTTGCGGGGTCTGGGGCGGTCCGAAAACCAGTCAGTATCTGGTTGTGAGGGCTTAAGGGTTAGGGTTAGGGTTTACGCGGGTTACGGCGTTCCTGTTGCTGAATCGAGTGCCATGGTGGTGGTGGGGTTAATGCGGGTATGCCGGCCACGCGCTACTGCATTATGGACGCACGAACACCAGGCCACTCGATTCACACACTACCTAAACCCTAACCCTCACACAGCTACTGACTGGTTTTCGGACCCCCCAGACCCCCCAATAAAGTACAAAAAAAATGCATGCTTTACAGGTGTCCTTTTATTTGTGGCCACCCTAGCAGGCACACAGCTGTGAAATAATCATGCTGTCTAATCAGCATCTTGATATGCACACCTGTGAGGTGCGGATACAAATTCCATCGTCGCAAAGGCGAAGTGCCTCCTATCACTCAGCATTTCTTTCCGATTTTTGAACAATATTTGAGAGAAATTGGTTATTTTGTGTATCGTAGAAATGATTTTAGATCTTTGAGTTCATCTCACTGAAAACATGGGAGTCAAAAACAAAAGCTGTCTGCATTTATATTTTTATTCAGTGTATATCTACTTACACTGTCACTGTACAGTCATAGAGTTACGAACTTTCATTTCGATTAGACTTACTTAGAATGTGTATAAACGAACTAATGAAAGAAGGGTAACATGAGAAATTATTATACCAATCACAAGAATTCACAGCAACTCGTCAATACTGTATACAAAATCGATTACTGATCTCTAAATTATATATAAACCAGAATGAATCTACTCCTACCACTTACACCATCCGAAAAAGGAATTTCTATATCTTGGCTTACCAAGCACAAGATAACAGCCAGTACGAGCACATTCGAACTCTTTACATGTGCTCTGGAGTGGTATGTCTCGGGGACCCTGGGTACGGGTCCATCCAATTACGAGCAAAGGAAGCCCGGATTCCGCACGACCACTAACCCTCACCCTAAATACAAACACTTCAACACCATTTAACAATAATCTGTATTAGATTACATACCACGACCAAGAACTCGAAATGTGACGCATGTACTTAGATAATGATTCATCTAAATTTGTGGCGTGTGTGGAGTCCCTGTGTGTGTGTGTTGGGGCGGCTACCGAATATTGCGAATATTCCAATATTTGTTCGTTGAGTACTATTCGGGTTCAATCGTTAAATACGGATATTCCGTTTTTATTTTTTTTTTTATTGAAACTCTTCCAATATCAACGTAAGAGCTTGTTCCCTCTTCGGGGGTTCTAACACTTATACCATTCTAAACGTTATTGTTTCAGCTTTTTCCGTCTTTATATGTAGATATTACTTTTTCTCCATTAATCTCCATCACGTTGTTTCCATAGCAACAACAACTTCCTGTCAACTGCGCTAACTCTCCTTCAAAATAAAAGCATGTCCATACAAAATAGAAAGCCAAGCCAAATTACACTTAAGACATATACAACTGCAACGAAAGTAACAAACACAATGCAATATCCTTTTCAATTTCAAAGAACATAAATTGGGTTGTATACATTAACAAATAACTATAAAACAACAATATTGTAGAATAACAAAAAGCGTGCCGTGAATACACCGAAATACACGTGTCGAATCGGTTCGCTGCTGATTACTACGCGCATCCCCCCCCCGCGCGCGGAACGAATATTCGCTGCTGATTACTACCGAATATCCGGAGCCCGAAAAATGGTATTCGGGACAGCCCTAGTGTGTGTGTGTGTGTGTGTGTGTGTGTGTGTGTGTGTGTGTGTGTGTGTGTGTGTGTGTGTGTGTGTGTGTGTGTGTGTGTGTGTGTGTACCTGTTGGTAGTGTTCTCCCAGGCGCAGCAGCAGCTCGTTGTGAAGACCCTGGAAGTCTTGTCTTAACAGAGAGCCGAGTTCAATCTCTGTCTCACTCTGGGAGAATATTAGGAAACAACATTTATAACGTTTATTTGGGTGGGAGTGACTTTTAATGATGAAATCTGTATTTTTTATTATTTATCTATTCTTTTGACAATGCCAATGTAAACCCTAATTCCCTACTAACCACTAAAACGATGACAATACACAAAAAAAGACTAATTGTTAGTTGTATTTAGCTGAAGCTTGAATGTGTAAACAATGACAGACTACAGCTAGTTATCGTGATGCTATTGATACCTGTAGGTAGTGGAAGGCCCTCTCTAGCTCTTCTTTAGTGCAGGAGCAGACCAGGTGGCTGAAGATGTATTTGAAGTTATTGATCAGGATCTCTCTCCTGTTTGCCTTCAGCTCATTGGCCAGCGTACGGATGAGGGCGGAGCCTGTAGAGCTCGCTTTGGCCGCCAGGTAGGGCAAGAGCACCTGGAGGGTCCTCTGTATACACAACAATGCATAACAACGTACATGCTCATGAACATATACATAGTTCTCACATAGTAATATCTCAATATACTGTTTACTGTGCTCATTGTGTGGAGTTTTGGGGTATGACTTACAGTGAGGAAGCGGTGGAGGTCTGGGAAATCGAAAGCATGCGCGATCTGAGCCAGGATGTCCAGGGCGAGCTCTCTCTGATTGGCCGATTCGCTGCCCTGATCCGGTGTGCTTCGCAGAGCAGAAACATGGCGTGAGTGCAGCGACTGCACCAGGAACTAATCACATAGAGGAACGAACAAATTAGATCCAGAATGTTCTACGTCTTTGAATCGCTGCACACAGCTCAAAATGTATTTTAAAGTAATTCATTTCAGTGTAAAAATCAGGAAGGAAAAACACATTTCTCTTATTATTCTATATAAAGGTACAAATACACACAATAAATAGGAAACCTTTTTTACACCACAACCAGTGTTACCATAGTAATTGTGTACAAATATACAAACACAAGAGATAGTGGTTTAAACCTCCATAATCATTGCAGACATCGTTGCTTCACTTTTTTTTTAATTATAACATTATATATTAGTATTGTATTGTTGTGAAATTATTATTATTACGGACTGGGAATCGATGAAAGTCTCCATCAGCTAATAGCTCAAGTTTATTCAACCAGTTAAACCCCACGGGGGGCAAAACGCAACATTCTTGCAAGAAACAGCGTCTGAGGGCTTCTTAACATTTCATAAACTATGAATGTGTCATACCCACTTAACGGGAAGAAACTCAGCTTTGAGACAATATTAACCATTTTTAGCTAAACGAAACAAAAGGGTAATAACAAAGGCTCTGAATTAGCCCTGAGTGAAAAATCCTAACGCACTATGCACAGATGTCAATAACGGAGTTTTCATATTAACTGCTACGAGAGTGTATGACAGCTTCCGGTTTGGGCATTCTGGCTACGCATCACTCTATTCACCATTGATTTTAGGAACTTCCTCTCGATTCTATTGGCTCTAACCGTTCAAAAGAGGTGTCAATCATCAAAATCGACCGACGGGTTCCAGAGATATGGAAAATGCACCCAAATGACCCCAGAAGTGGTTTTTTTTTTCTAAATCTCTCTAAAAAGGTCAAAGGTCACTTGTTTTGCATCAATCTTGATACAGGGTACTTATTCAAGGGTGGTTTTCACTTTGGATTCCTAAAGCTTTTAGTCTACCATCCCATCATTCAAGGGTGGTTTTCACTATAAGTAATGTTTTCTTTTGGACGGAAACTATAATTTACATTTTTTTACTATGTTCAATCTGAATTTACATTAAAATAAAAAAGTTCTATATTGATTCTGACTTCCCTAAATCCAACTCACAGGTTTATCATTGCTTTGAGAACAAAGATTATTAATTTACCCCTTTTAGAAATGAAGATATGGTCATTTGTTCTGGGAATGTCATTTTCGAGCCTGATGCCTGAAGAAGCAGCATTAAAGATTTTCTACCTATCTATCTATGTTATGCAACATCCTCGGGATCACATGGCGGGACAAGGTCACGAACGAGGCGGTGCTGGCGCGTACGGGCAGCAAGTCAATGTTCCAAACACTGAAGGTCAGGTGACGACGCGAGTCCTACAGCATTTTGCGACTGTACTTCCCCGGGACCTGTTAACACCTGCCTATTGACCTCTCCCGACCCGCCGTCCTGGCCTGCTTACCGCGGTCGTCGACGCCGCCTTCCACGCGCTGTCCTGAAACCCTGTTTCCCCTGAACCTAGCCATCCTGAACGAGTTTTGCACGCTGTAATGACATAGAGAGACTGACGTGACATAAGTTAGAGAACATCAAAAAAGAACCGGTTTAGATACAATACGAAGAAAAATTGGAAAGAAAGAATATAGTGGTGTAAAATAAGTTATACGAGGAATCTATTGCAAAAAAAAATAAAAAAAATAATAAAAACGATTTATTTATCCCCAAACGCCATATCCATACGTATATATTATATAACATATAGGAAATAAAATACAATACAACTATGGAGCCCTGAGCACCCTTTGTCGAAAAAGCTAGAAAGCATATGTTTCATAAAAACTTAACGTGTTATTTCCAACTTAAACTGAATAAAAGAGGAATTCACGTAACCCCTAGCTACAATTCACGACGAATATCTTTACTTAATAAAAATAAGATGGACCGTCTACCGAAGAACATGACTGACTTCTCCAACATCAAACTAGGAAACCGCCGCCGGCCTCGAGACTAGACTCGCATCCGGTCGGCTGCCTGTGGGCCCTGCTGAACCTCTCGTCTGTCACCTCGTCGGCGTCGGTCTCTCTTGCTGTGGTCTTGAGGAGACTCTGCGAGACTGTCGCTCTCGTCTCCCTGTGTTATGACCTTACCTGAGAAAGGTTATACCTCTACTATCCTTCCATAGGGTTGACATCGACACTTGTACTGTCCCCTACACACTAAATGGGTTCTTCTCGTAGTCCCTGACAAACAACTACGTAATACTATACGATACACTAATTGTACTACTAAGTCGGAGATACCTCTTCTCTGTATACTGTCGTACGAGTAAAGACTGCAACCTCGATTAGACTTCATTTGTAACTTATACGAAAGAAAAGGAGAGTAGAACACTGAACACATTGAGGGAGAGAACATATAGTCGTACACTTCCTGTGACAAGTCCTTGATCTGACTACGAACATACACTACTGATGAAAGGATAAGACCTCTCCCAGTGTCCCCGCATCTGTAATGTTAAGGTGACCGGGAGTCCCGGCAGCCCTTAACATTACAGATGGGACACTAGCGGAAGAGCGCTTACCTTCATCAGTAGTGTATGTCTCGTAGTCGATCAAGGACTTTGTCACAGGAATGTACGACTATGGGTTCTCTCTCCAATGTGTCAGTGTTCTACCTCCCTTATCTTTGTCATAAGTTACAAATGAAGTCTTAACGAGGTGCAGTCATTACTCCGTACGGAAACAGTTATCAGAAGAGTATCTCCGACATTAGTAGTACATTTAGTGTATCGACTAGTATACAGAGTTTGTCAGGGACTACGAGAAGACCCATTACGTGTGTAGGACAGTACAAGTATGTCGATGTCAACCCTATGAAGGATAGTAGAGTATAACCTTTCTCAGGTAAGTCATAACACAGGGAGAGGAGGGACCAGTCTCGCAGAGTCCTCACTCAGACAACTAGGCAAGAGAGACGACGCCGACGAAGGTGACAGACGAGGGAGTGTTCAGCAGGGGCAAAGGCAAGCGACGAGATGCGAGTCTAGTCTCGAGACCGGCGAACGGCGGTTTCCTGAGTTTGATGTTCTGGGCAGAAGTCAGTCATGCTTCTGGGTAGACGGTCCCATTCTTATTATTATTATTAAGTAAAGTAATATGTCGTGTGAAAATGGTTTGTAGTAGAGTTTACGATAATCCTCTTTTATTCAGTTTAAAGTTGAAATAACAGTTAGTTGTTTATAGAAACATGATGTCCTTTTCTAGCTTTTCGACAAAGGGTGTCAGGGCTCCATATTGTATTGTATTTTAATTTCTATATAGTTATATAAAATATAATGTATGATATGGTGGTGAATAACCATAGTTATGTATTTATATATTTTTTTTATTTTATTTGTCTATCAATAGATTCCTCCTCGTATAACTTATTTTACACCACTATATTTTTCTTTCAATTCTCGTATTGTATCTAACCGTTCTTTTTAGATGTTCTCTAACATGTCACGTTTAGTCTGGTACTGTCATACAGGTGCAAAAACCGCTCGCGTTCAGAGCTTTTTGAGGTCAGAAACAGTTTGTCAGAACAGTGGTGGAAGGCGCGTCGACGAACCGCGCGTGAAGCAGGCCAGGAGGCGGTCGGAGAGGGTCGATAGGCAGTGTTACAGGTCCCGGAAGTTACAGTGCAAAATGCTGTAGGGAACTTCGCGTCGTCACCAGCAGGAGACGGAGGACCTTGGTCGTGAGTCGAGCGACATATTCTACAGGAAACCGTCCGCCGGTAGACCCGTAAAGACGCTTCCACTGGTCGGT